ACCAAGTTGTCCTCTTCCACTAGTTTTAACAGTTCTACTTGTATTTCATCTAATCCAGCTGCCTTATTGTATTTAAGAGTTTTTGACAGCATAGTTGGTTTCATCTATCGTGATCTTCTGTCTCTCTAAAGGATTTAATTCTTGTATTTTCTGCATTTCACCTCTTTCATCTTGGAAAAGTTCTCTAATGTACTCTACCCATCGTATTAATTTTTTTTTTTTTTTTTTAATTTGTTTGATGGCCTTGGCCGAGCCAATTAGCCAGACAAATTTAAAGACAAACTATTTCAACAATCAGAGGAATTTTTTACAATCAGAGGAATAAACATACAATCATCCGTACAATCTAACATGCAATTTTTAATAAATTACAACTTGTTTTTTTTTTTTTCATTTCTTTTTTTTTATTTTTTTTTTATTTATTTTTTTTTTATTTTTTTTTATTTTTTTTTTTATTTTTTTTTTTTTATTTTTTTTTTATTTTTATTTATTTTTTTTTCCTGCGCTAAGACATAACCCGATTCAACATCTCGGAGGTTTACATCTTCCTTTTTTTTTTTTTTTTTTTATTTATTTATTTATTTTTTTTTTTATTATTAATTTTTTTTATATATATATATATTTTTTCTGCTATATTACAATATTTACTTATATATAGGGATAGATTTAAGCTACAATTTATATTTACAGTTTTTGATATGTTCGTAAATCGTTTTTAATATATTGATATCTCTAGAGAAAATCAAATTGTTTAGGTAGACGGGAAGTGGAATTTATAATATAATAAGATTATCATAAAATTTGTTTATGTTTACTGATTCGTGGGAACATTCAAGGAAAATATGTAATAGGTTACCTTCTTTTCCGCACTTGCAATTAGGTGACTCCGCGAGACCCAACTTGTACATATGAAGGGGGGTAAGAGCATGATTAGATCTTAATCTGTTTATAACCCTTATGAAATGGCGGTTTGATAGAGTATGAAACCATCTTTTTATGGGTATTTCAGGCTGCATTTGTTTGTAATTATTTCCAGTTCTCGTGTTTTGATAATATGTTTGCCATTTTTCTTTTTGATGCCGTTTACTAATTATATCAATGTCTGAAATGGGGAGTAAGTTCAAGGGGGCTTCTTTGCCTATGTCTAGGGCGGATTTGGCTAGGCTATCTGCTATTTCATTGCCCTTAATGCCCGCGTGTCCCTTTATCCATGATATAATAATGTTTTTTCCCTAAATTTGTAATTTTATTGTAAATAGTCATAATTTCTAGTTCTATATGATTTAGTTGTTTGGACCTATGTACGTTTGTTAGTCTGTCGACGACACTCTTACTGTCTGTAAATATTATGCAGTTGTAGGGTTCGGTACTATGTATATGCCTTAATGCAAGAAGAATCGCTGTCATTTCAGCAGTGTATATCGATGATTCAGCTGGCAATTTCAATAATTTTTTAAATCCACTTTGAGTATTAATTAATGCACATCCTACTTTGTTTTGTACTTTAGATCCGTCTGTAAAGTAAAACTGATAATTTGGCCATTTATGCCGTGTAAATGATTGAAAAGCGACTGGATCGTATTAATTTCTCTGGTAAATTTATTTGTAGTACTCCTTTTTTGTCTTTTATGTGTCCCTACTGTCTATTTCGACCCATTCCAGTCACTTCTCTTATTTTTTTGTGCATATTTCTCATATCATATTTTGTTTCTATTTTTTTCTATCTCTTTACATTGCCGCTTGCTGACTTTTAGTTCATTTAAAATTGAATTATTCGTCTTGCGATTGATCTAAGGAATTCGTAACATTTTCTCCAACAGAATATTCCGGTAGCGTCTATCTTTATTATTTTCGCTTGGTCTCAGGCTTTAAGATTAACATCCGTATGTCACTATTGAGAATATTAAGCAGTTAAATCTTAGCTTTAATTTATCTGGAAGAATAAACAAGAATCGAACATCACATATAATTTTTTTAATTATAATTACTATATCTAACATTTGACTAAATTATTCTTATCACATAATATGCATTTTAACAATCGTGATGACATTTAACCTATCCCATTGATGTAACTCGTTTACATGATCAAGGCAGTCATTGAAAATGAAAGTGGAATCTTTAAATTACAAATTATTATATAGCATTCTCTAGACTGGAGACAACTTCTTACAACATAGATCAGGTTCAGAAAGTCGCAGGAACCAGTTTTTTGACGTGAAAACTGATAAGTTGAAAATAAGTGTGCCACATTTGGGTCTTTAACCTGTAACAAAAGTAGGTGCTTTATATTACGCAAAATATATGGAGTATATACTTACTGCATGGACATAGTAAATGTTAATATATATTTTTAAGTTTATATGTCGTTTTATATTAATAAAATATTTTTGATTTATTGTAAAATAATGGTGTTCTGATTACCTTTATATTATAGAATAGAAGAGAATAGAAATATGCTTTATTGTCACTGAAAGTTGTACAATGTTATGGACAAAGCTTACAAAAAGTAAAGAAAGAATTGTTCCATCATCTAATTCTTATATAAAATGAAATATATTCATTGCCATTGTTTTATTGTTTCTGTTTGATTTGGAAATAATAGATAGATGGTTTATTGGTAATAAATTAATACAAAAATATTTTTTACAAGTCAAAGAAAATAAAATATATGTCAATATAGTTAATATGCACATAAATATAAACACGAAACATAGATACATTGTTTTAAATTATACTGTTGACAATTACAACAAATTAAAATCGGAAGTAAAATACTCCTCATATGTAAAAAAAGCATTCACTATAAGGTTACTCTTAATTTGTGCCTTAAACTGATGAAAATTAAGAGCTTTTATTCTAGCTGGCAGTAAGTTGTAGAATTTTATGGCTAAATACCTTGAACCATTTCTGGATCTCCCAAGACGACTAAATTCTGGTATAAGATTATTGTTAAATCTGGTGGGATAATTGTGAAAATCTACATGCGCATTGTATTGGCTAAGATTTTGTTTAATGTGCAACAGACACTGCATAATGTATACACAAAGTAAAGTTAAAATTTTTAAAGCTCTAAAGGAGTTTCTACAGTCTGCTCTATAAGAGAGCCCAGAGATAATACGAACACACTTTCTTTGTTGTGCAAACACTTTATCAATATGACAAGAGTGACCCCAGGAGAGAATAGCATATGTCAGATGAGAATGAAAGTCACTTGTACTGGAAGTCACTTGTACAAGGTTCCTGAAGATAAAAGTTGTCGGGAAAGCTTTTTCGATAGAATAACTATATGTTGTTCCCAGGTTAATCCTGCATCAAAATATATCCCCAGAAACTTCGCTCCGGTTACACATTGTGGTAGAGCAACGTTTTCGACACAAGTATTATTTCTTAGAGTAAAATTAACACTTGTGATTTATTGTTCAAAGAGAGACGGTTAGTTAAAGACCAATTGAATAAGTTTTTTTCAGATTATTGGTAATCAAGGGTGTCAAATTCAGAAGGATGATAGCTTGCATAGAAAGTAGTGTCATCAGCAAATAAAACAGTGTTGACTGTTTTATTTTGAGAGTACACTAGATCATTAATATAGATAAGAAATAATACTGGACCCAAAACCGAGCCTTCAGGGACACCAAACAACAGAGATTGTTTTTGAGAATCAAACTGGTTGAAGTGAACATATTAATCACGGTTGGATAAATATGAATCAATTAGTTGAATAGCATCACTATGAAAATTATAAAAAGGAAGTTTTTTAAGCAGAATACTATGTGTGACACAATCGAAAGCCTTAGTAAGATCTAAAAACGATGCAAGAGTATCAAGATATTTCTCAAACCCTTCCAAAGCATTGCTAGTGAAATGATTGATAGCTAAAGTTGTTGTTTTATTTTTTCGGAATCCGTTACTGGTTTATGGCAAACAGTTTATTAGATTCAAAATGTAGATTAATTTGATTTTTTTAAATTCGTTCATAAACTTTTGATAAGATGGGCAACAAAGAAATGGGTCGATAATTGTTATAATCATCAATAGAGCCTTTATTCTTAAACATATGTACTACCTTTGCAGTTTTGAAAACATGTGAGAGCCTTCTACTGAAAGGCTCTCACATTTCTCACGCAATAAAAACGGAAACATAGCAATTTGTACTAATTTTTCATCCTCGATTTAATACATCAAAAACAACTGCTCACATAATCTTCTAGTTTAAAATACACAACTGATACCTACAATTACAAGACAAGAATATGTTCTCTAGCAGTTTTGGATACCTTTAAGGGCTGCTATAACGGGGAGCCTGGTACGACCACTGAATTATAAATAAATTAAAAGTAAATTACAAATTTAATCTTATATTAAATGCGTGAGTGATGTATGAATGATACTGTTTTCCAAAAAGTAACAAAAGATATAAGAACAAGTAATTTAGTTTTTCTGCACTTAGTTCTACAATGTGAATTGCATATATTAAGTTTATATTTTTAATAAAATAATCTCTTTGGTTCCATTGTTTGTCCAAGGTAACTTGTTTCATAATAGCTGTACGTCAATTTGTAAATAACGTCTGAAATATACCTATAAATAAAAAATTTGTGAAATATTTAATGATATAAATTGTTGTTACATTATTTTCATTTATAAGTAGTCTATTGTGTACTTTCCAAAAGTACTTTATTATGTAGGTAATATAAATGTTTGTTCGCTAAGTTAAGTATGATCAACATCAAATTTTTTGGGGCCTTAGGTTCAAGACCTATTTAGCCAGACAATTGGTTGAATACGTAAAAACAGCTGATCAACATCAACTTATTCACAATAAGTTGCAAAGTATATCGTTTATGTATAAAGTATCGTAAATATTTAAAAAAAAAACTAAAATTATTTATTTAAAATATCTTTTGTATTACTATCGCAAAAATATGTCACATCCTATTTTTATTCAGTGAACTATTTTGTTCTATTGCTACAATATTTATTCATTTTTTTTCCTTTAGGATACAGTCAAGAAAATTTCAAATGCCCAGACGATTTTGGATTTTACCCACATCACATATCCTGCGATAAATATTGGAAGTGTGACAACAATGTAGCAGAATTAAAGACTTGTGGAAACGGTTTAGCGTTCGATGCTAGTGATTCCAAATTTCTGACTGAAAACTGTGATTATATCCACAATGTAGATTGTGGAGACAGGGCGCAATTGGGTAAGTTAGGAAATCATTTTAAAATATTTTCTACATGATTTACAATTTCCGTTTAAAATGTTTTATATTTTTTCCATAACTTTTCCGAACGTGAATAATAAAATGTTGGAAACATAAACATTTTAGGAAACGGGGAAAAGGATTTAATTAGCAAATTAATATTAGAAGCAATTAAAGAGAGCTGTAAAAAAGAGTTATCATCATCATCATTTGTTTTGAGTGGACTCAAAACAAATGATGATGAGCAATAAATAATTCCATTCCATAAGATCTTGAGCACCTTGAATCCAGGTATGCTGGCTGCCTTTGATATCTCTGACCACGTTGTTGGAGGACGTCTTCGATTACGATAAAAATCTTGTCTAGTTCTCCATCCTAAAATTTTCTTGGTCCATCTTCCATCTCTGACTCTGGCAACATGTCCTGTCCAGTTCCATTTCATCATTATAATTATCTTAATTGTGTCCGTAATATCAGCTTTTCTCCCAAGTATTTGATTTAAAACTCTGTCTGAGGGATAAATATTCAACATTGACGTCTCCATTGTTTTCTGTGCCACTTGTATCTCATTAATTACTTTTCTGCTAAAAGTCAATATTTCTGCTCCATATATTAGAACTAGGAGAGAACTTTTTGAGAATGATTTCCGAAGTGGAAATTGAAACGTCACTAAACGTTCTTTAACCTTTAATTGTGGCTTATTCCCAGTTAAATAGTAATTAATTTTTATAATTAATCGGAATATTTCCACTGGGATATGCCAATGCTTCAGGCAATATTAGTGTATTTTTTTTATTATTGTTAAGCCTGAAGGTGTGAACCTTCTGATTCATTAGAATATTTTTGTGACTAGATTCCGCGGATAACATGGTTTTTTGTAGTACTCTGGCCAGCAACTTTTGTAATCAATCACGCCTTTAGTATTGACCAATACAACATTAAAGCAGTTGTTTTTCTTCTTCTTCGCGTGCCATATCAGAACTATCCGACGTTGGCGATCATGATTGCGAAGGCTTCTCGATCTTCTGCAATATGGAATAATTGTCCTGCATTTGGTATCTGAGTCCATTGACGAATGTTTTTTAACCAAGAAACTTGTTTTCTTCCTACACCTCTACGGCCCTCTATTTTGCCTTTTAAGGATCAGTTGTAAAATTTTATATCGACTTCCTCTTACTATATGTCCCAGATACGATATTTTTCGATGTTTAACAGTCTTTAGCAGTTCAAACTATTAAAAAGTAACAAAACCCCAGGACCAGATGATATGTACGCAGAAACAATCAAGTTACTTAATGAAGAAAACCTAGACATTATTGTCAAGCTCTTTAACGACATCTACGATACGGGCCAGATTCCAAAAGATTGGCTTCGATCTACATTTATCGCCCTACCAAAAACACCACGTGCGAACTTCTGCAAGGACCACCGACTAATAAGCCTAATGAGTCACTTTTTAAAACTTTTCCTGAGAATACTTCACACTAGATTGTTTAAGAAATGTGAAGAGGTCAGTGAATGAAGTCAGTTTGGTTTCAAAAATGGACTTGGCACGAGAGAAGCGATCTTTAGTATGCAAACATTGATACAGAATTGTTTAGATCAAAGAAAGGATGTTTTTATCTGTTTCATCGATTACGAGAAAGCATTCGATAATGTAAAACATGAATTGATGATAAAATACCTACAAGAGTTGGGATTGGATGCAAAGGATATAAGAGTCATCGCCAATCTGTATTGGAATCAGACAGCAACAGTACGTCTTCAAAATTCCAACGAAACAGAAGATTTCTCCGTTAAAAAGGGAGTAAGGCAATGTTGTATACTGTCCCCAATGCTGTTCAATTTATACGTAGAAAAAGCCTTCGCAGAAGCAGTGGAAGACTCTAATAAGGGTATTAAAGTTAACGGCATATTTATTAATAACATCAGGTATGCCGATGATACAGCCATAGTGGCAGATAACATCGAAGATCTTCAATGCCTTTTAAATGATCTGACTCTTGCAAGTGAAGCTCGGGGTTTGAAAATAAATATCAAGAAGACAAAATCAATGATTATAAGTAGAAATGACTACCCCAACGCAAAGATATATGTCTCTGGAGAAGAAATCGAACAAGTCAGGCAATTCAAATACTTCGGATGTTTTGCTGAATGAGGGTTGGGAACCCGAGAATGAAATAAAGAGCAGAGTTGAACAAGCCAGAAATGCTTTTTTGAGGCTTCGTAAGTTTCTGACTGATCGCAAATTGGACTTCAACCTCCGATACAAGATGCTTAAGTGTTACGTGTGGCCTGTTCTCCTGTACGGATTGGAAGCATGGACGTTAAAGGCCAGTTCCATTAACAAACTTGAAGTGTTTGAAATGTGGTGCCTGCGTCGAATGCTCAGAATATCATGGACGGACAGGGTTAGAAATGAGGAAGTACTCAGAAGAGCGGGCTTACAGGATAGGGAACTTTTTAATTATGTAAAAAGTAAGAAGACTGCATACTTGGGGCACATTATACGAGGAGAACGATACACTTTTCAGCAACTGATACTCGAAGGAAGATAGAGGGTAGGAGAGGTCTCGGACGTAAAAAAATGTTATGGCTGCGCAATATTCGACAATGGACAGGAATCCACAGCTATGAAATGCTTCGCAATGCTGCTAAAAATAGAATTATTTAATCCAGAATATTTAACATCTCACCTGACAAGACGATGTACGGTGGACGCCTACGCAGAAATGCACGGCACCTTAAGAAGAAGAAGCAGTTCTCTGTCTTTATTGACGCTCCTTAGTACTTCTTCATTAGTTTTTCTTGCTGTCCAAGGTATCTTCAGCATTCGTCTATGAACCCATATTTCCAATGCTTCAATTTTGTTCATGATCGATACTTTAGCGTCCACACTTCTGCACTATACAAAAGTACAGACCAAACATAACACTTAACCATTCTTTGCCTTAGTTCTAAACTGAGATGGTTATTGCAAAGAAATGGCTTCATTTTCATAAAAGTAGTTTTAGTCATTGCTATTCTACGTTTTTTTTCTATGTCTGGATCTAGTCGGTCCGCTATCGCAGTTCCCAAATATGTCATTTTGTGAACTTTCTCAACTTGGACTCCGTTCAATTGAAGCTTTGCATCGGGATGTGGGTCACGACTAAACACTAAAAATTTGGTTTTGTTTGAGTTTATTTTAATGCCCATTTCCTCTCCTACCTCGTGAATACGATCAAACAGAATTTGAAGACCTTCAATATTATCTGATAGAGTTACTGTATCGTCTGCATATCTAATCACATTAAGTAGTTCCCCGTTGATTTTTATTCCATATGGTTGTCTCTCAAGTGCCTTTTTAAAAAGCTGGTCCGAGTAAACATTGAACAATGTTGGCGACAAAATACAACCTTGTTTGACTCCTCGTTGTATGGGGATTTCATCGGTGTAGTTATCTCCAATTTTTACGATAGCAGTTTGATTCCAGTACAAATTTTTAATGACACGAATATCTTTGTCATCTATTCCGATATTTTTTAGTATTTGCATTAATTTTACATGCTGTACTTTAGCGAATGCCTTTTCGAAGTCCACGAAACATGCAAATACATCTTTTCTTTGATCACGGCATTTTTGTAATAGGATGTTAAGCGCAAAAAGTGCCTCCCTGGTTCCCACAGCATTTCTAAAACCAAATTGGGTATCTTCAAGATCTTCTTCGCATTTGTGTCTAATTCTGTTGTAAAGTATTCTGAGGAAAATTTTAAGAGTGTGGCTCACTAGGCTAATTAATCGATATTTTAAGCATTTTCTCCCATTGTGTTTTTTAGGTATTGCGATAAAGATGGATTTGAGCCAATCTGCGGGCATCACTCCGGTGTTATATATTGAATTAAAAAGTCTTACTTTTATCAGCTCCATATTCTTTCATGGTGTATACACGGTCTACTTTTTAAATTTTTTGAAATCACCGCAAAATCCCTATTACAGGGTAGGAAGAAATTACTCCTAATAAGAAAATAATGGTCAATGTTCTTAAATTTTTCGAGCGAAATCAAAGCAGAAAAAACCTTAACACTGTGTGGTTTTTATTTTGCGCTCCATAACTCTCAGAGAAAACATTCAGACATTTTACTAACAGCATGTTCTCTATAAAATACGTTCAGAAATAGCATCTGTAATAATACCAGAAACTGCATTGCCTAGGGAACCTTTTCCCCGTTTGTCGAATAGCGATTTTCCTGTACTTAGAAAAAGTACAAGTCGCCTCACTCGGTTAATTGTTATTCCGTTAAGAAAACAGAAGGCTAATTTACAAACGGTAATTGTTCTAAAGGAGTTAATATGAAGTTTACATACCTAATACTTCTATTAGGATTTGAAGACTCACCGAGTTCTTTTCTGCTACGTCGTTGTTGAACTTCAGTTGCAAAAAATTAGGCTTTGTAAGTAACAATCTTGCTCATTTTTTGTAGTCAGATCCCTAAATTGTTAGAAAATCTGCATTTTTTCGTCGCAACTCATCAATGAAAAGCACTTTTTTCTGCACCTAAAAATTAATTAGGTACATATTAACAAATTTAGATTGATCAGTCAACAAAAAATTATTTTCAATTAAAACTTTTATTAAAAAAAAAAACAAATTATCAACTTACTTGTGATCTTTTCAGGATGAAGAAGGAATTGCAGGAACATTATTTCCCTTCCAATTGATGTACTCTTTTCCTTTGACTCTAGCTCGTTTTATTATTTGATTACTACATTCGTAGGCTTTTTTATTCATTCCTTTTTCTGATTAGATAAATTAATATCGTTATGATCAATGTCGCTTTCTTCTTGCGCCACTTGCTTCCAGTTGTGTCCTCCGATCTTCTTAATATCATCCGCCCCTCTCATTTGTGGTCTTCTTCTGCTTCTCTTTCCTGACCATGGTCTCTGATCTCCATTGTTGTATTTCGTGGTTCCATTTCTTATCCTTCAGTGGGGCATTGTGTCCTGCGAAGCTCCATTTTAATTTGGCAGCATGTTCTTCTGCGTCTTGTACTTTCGTTTTGCTTCTAATCCGTTTGTTTGTTTTTTGTCTATAAGTCTCACCTCAAGCATTGATCTTTCCATCGCTCTTTGTGCTTTTACTATTTTATCCATATTAGACTTGGTGAGTGTTCACGTATTTGAAACATACGTGAGTATAGGAAGGATACACTGATCATAAATTCTGGTTTTCAAATATTGTTCTATATTGGTGCTTTTTAAGACCCACCTCAGTTTTTCAAATCCTGCTTACGCTAACGTTATTCTTCTGGTAATTTCGGCACTTTGATTTTCTTTGTTAACTTTCATTATCTGTCTCAGGTAAATATATTCGCTTACTATTTCTAAATTTATGTCGTTCAACGTTATTTCTTTAATGTTCATGTGTATTTGTTATTATTTTTGTTTTTTCCAAGTTCATCTTAAGACTTACTGTTTCCGAAGCGTGAAATAGTTGCGTCATCATGGTCTGTAGTTGTCATCAGCGTATTTTAAGTGACTCAGTTTTCTTCCATTAACATTTATTCCTTTATCTGCCCAGTTAATATATTTGACCACGTCTTCAAGTCCAAGTGTAAACAGCTTTGGTGAGATAACATCTCCCTGGAGAACTCCTCTGTTGATTGGTATAGCTTTGGTTTTCACATCTATTTGCATTTATGTCGCTTTCACTCATTTTATAATAGTTTTGTCAAGATATAATACAAATAAGTAATAAACAATATTATTATTACTGTATTTGTATTCACTACACATTTATTTATATACGTGCATTCACAACACAAGATTGAACTTGACTGAAAATTATTGGTATTATTGTGCCAAATTATAACGACATGGACACTGCATAGTAGAAACGCCTTTTGTCATGGACCTATGGTGTTTCTTTAATACATCGCCAAATCATACCGCTGTAGATAGGTTACGAATGCACTGACTGAAGGCATTCCTTTGCAAAAATGTGTATTTACAGTTTAAAGTTCATTTTGGTGAAACAATGATTTTGGAAAAAATATGACTTATGGGGTTTCTTAAATAAGTGATTTTAAAGAAGGAATATATATTACAAAACAAAAAGAGAAAACAAACCCTCGATTATAAAATGGCAGTCCTTCTCCTCTATCCTTTATCCTTCGTAAGGATGTGGTAACATTATGATATTTGACGAATGGTTGCTATCGATTCTTCTCTCTCCTGGGCGCGGTGTGCTGCCTCAGACAGAGAGTAACCGGTAGCGCACTTTATTTGGTCTTACCATCGGAGTGGCGGTCTTCCCCGAGTTATTTTACCATCTTTTACCACCTAACCTTTCCATGCCTTCCATTCGTCTGGTAATGTGTCCAAAGTACCTCAATATATTTTGGTTGATGATTGTGGTAAGCCTAGTATTGATGTCGAGTTCTGTCAATATTGAGACATTTGTGCGACGTGCTGTCTAGGCTATGCGCATCATTCTACGATATACCCTCATTTCAAAGGCCAATATACGTCGTGAGTCGGACTTTTTAATGGTCCAAGTTTCTGACCCATAGGTAGCGATAGGAAAGATAAGCCTCCGTACTTGGCGCAGTTTCGTGTTTCTGGTTATGTCCGTATTTTTCCAGATTTTAGTAAGTTTGAACTGTTGCTGATCTGGCCATTGTAAGGCATCGACGTATCTCTTCTTCGCATTCACCATTGTTTGTGATAACAGAACCTAAATAATTGAAACGGCTTACCACTTCAAACCCCACTACGTTTCGTATTTCCGGCTGATTACTTCTAATTCAATCGATTATTATTGCCTTGGTCTTCTGTACATTAATTTTAAGTCCATATTCACGACTAATAGTACCTAGTCTGTTCATGATGTATTCAAGGTCATTTGTTAATGATACTAGTATTATGCTAGTATTTTTTAAGACTAAAGTGTCGTCAGCATAACAGAGATTGCCGATTTTTCGGTCTTCGACTGATATTCCTCCTTGCCATCCGTCGAATACAATGGGCAGTAACAAATGACAAAACCTTTAAGAAAACCTATCACAAGACGACAACAAAATTAACACACTTTTTGGTTTTATTTAAGGTTTTACTTATTAAGTTGATTACATTGTGTTTAGATAAGCTTGTATTACTACTTATTTTTGTAATAGATTCTAAAATTATTACTATAATACTAAGTTATTATTGTTATAGTTTATTTACTATTTACATCGACATCTTACGCTGTGCTAAATAAAACGTAAGACGGTGTATCTATACGCTCTCGATTTCATATTAAAAACGTGTCTATTATGTCATTTTCGTTCTCAAAAATCAGATCTACACAATATATTAAAATAAATTATATTTTATTTACAGAACCTCCAATAAGTTCTCCCCATTGTGAAAGGCTTTACGGTATCTTCTCAGATGAAGCCAAATGTGACGTGTTCTGGAATTGCTGGAACGGAGAAGCTTCTAGGTACCAATGCTCACCCGGTCTTGCCTATGATAGAGAATCCCGAGTATGTATGTGGGCCGATCAAGTGCCAGAATGTAAAAACGAAGGTAACATTCTTGTTCAAATATTGCATGTTTAACAGATAATAAAAGTAAAGTTTGTTCTTATAATTGCTTGATATAGACATTTTAACAAAGAACTGAGTACCTATATAATAATAGTAACTTTTTATGTACCACATATTTGAATAACTTAAATAATTTTTATTATTGACTCTAAACTTGTGCGATTAGTTACAAAAGAAATAAACTATAGAAGCATATCACTAGTGCATAACTTTATGGAGTTATTTCTTTTGTTATATTCAATATTAGTAGGTTTACGCCGTCAATAAACTAGTAGAAATTTGAAAGTGGATATTTTAGCATTGAACTAACGTCCGTGAAAAATATAATTAAAGTTTTATACCTGATTTAGTTTAAGTTATTTTAGGAAAGTTTCCGAATAATTTGTGTGGTACATAAAATCGCTTTTGTAAATTCTTCGATAGTTGATTATTAAAAACGAATTAGGACATCATAAGATTCTGCTTTCTTTTCTTTATTATACATAGAGATAGTTGAAAAGGCGTTAATTTATTAGATTATTTAGATGTACGTGTTATATTCAGAGTTGATCTTTCCGAGATCTTTTGTTTTACACATTTTTGTTCCTCTGATTGCAGTTACACCTTCTTTATTTTGATTACATTACAAGCTTTTATCTTCTAATTTGTTATTTTATATTATTACTTACTTACTTACTTACTAGCTAACGCCCACCCTTGGCATGTTAGCCATTTGGTGGTGCGCTGACCAGTATAAACGAGCCGTTTCTCGTAGGCGATCTTCATACTCCTCGGGTGGGTCTGTTTTCAGGGCTGGGCACTCTGGAAGGTGAGCAGCATCCATCTGGGACTGATCACATAGTGGACAGTTGTCATTTTCGCGGACGCCGATGCGATGTAGATGGGAGGCCAGGTAGTCATGCCCCGTAGTTGTTCTGAACACGGCTACACTAATGGGTTTCGGCAAGTTGTGAGGGATGGGTGACTCTATTAGGTGGGTCCAAGATTTTCCAGCACCGGCTTGTATTTGCTGCTCTTTTTTTTCGCTTTGATTCCTCTTCTAATCGTGGACTTTGCTGATGTGTACGATTGGAAGCTAGGGGGCTGTGGAAGAGTAGTGCCTTCTTTTGCAAGTTCATCCGCCGCTTCATTTCCTTCAACACCGACATGACTAGGGATCTATTAGAGTAATCAGCCACCTTTTTTCCATCAAGTTCGATAGTTGGACGTGGCAAGATATTGTTCTGGCACAGTCGGTGTATCGATTTTTCGACAGGGTGAGGATTGTGGCTTGGCAGTCGATGAAGAAGGCAAATTTTTGGGGGTGTTGGAAATTCTCAAGATTTTTTGCAGCTTCGTGTATAGCAGCAATTTCGCCGTCGTAGTTGGTGAGAGGGGCATCCACAGCTATAGAGCCTTTGAAGAACGTTGAGACATATCCTGCTCCTGTTCTTCCCGAGTCCGGCATCGAGGATCCATCGCAGTAGATGTGGAGCCACTCATGTGCTGGGTACTTGGTGTGTATCGTCTCTAGGGCGGCTTTCCTTAGGGCAATGTCTGACGATAAGTGCTTCGGGTCGTTATGGTTTTCAAGCAGTAATTCTGTGTTTGGTAGACAGCGGGCCAGTGTGGTTTGCGCTGGGAAGGGGGCGGCTTCCGACAGGACAATGTGGTATTTTTCCATGATTTGGTTTGCTACTGTAAGAGGAGTGGTTTATGTTTTAAGACGTGAGGCTGCTTGTCTATATTCGTCCCATTTTTGTGAAAGTATTGACAGTTTGACAGCAGTCTGTTTTGTTGAAAGGCTAAGTACTTGATATACGGTTTTGGTTGTATTGACTGTTAGGCAGTTTTTATTCACCCATTTTTCTAGATTTTTCAGAGCCTGGTTCATTACTCCCTCGAGCGCTCTCAGACTGCTACTTGATGCCCACATTAGGAGGTCATCAGCATACAGGAGGGCTTCCACACCAGGTGTCTTTCTAATCATTTCGAACACATCATTTATCATTAAGTTAAATAATTGACAGCTGACGACAGCTCCTTGTGGCAGCCCTTGTCTTTGCAGTCTGAATTTGGAACAGTGGTTGTGAAATTTGACTCTCTGATACCTTTCCCGAGAAAGGATTTTATCCAATTGAATAGTTTGCCGTCAACTCCGGACTTTGCTATCTTGTGTAACAGCAAACCTCTCCATACTGTGTCGTATGCAGCTTTGAGGTCTACTAGCACTGCTACTGTTGACATCTTACGGTGGAAAGCATCCTTGACTTTTTGGACAAAATCGACTACATGGTCCATGGTGTTCCTGTGTTTCCTGAAGCCAGCTTGAGCGTCGTCAATCAGTTCAAGATGGGTTAAGGCACGGTTTAGTCTGCCCAGAACCATTTTTTCGGCTACTTTGCATAAAGAGCTGGTGAGGGACATTGGCCGGTAGCTATCAGTCAGGCTCGGGTCTTTTCCTTTCTTTAAGGTGGGTATGACCTCGCTCTTCCTCCACTGACTTGGGACTCTTGAATTCCATGTTAGGTTAATCAAATTCAGAGCTTTTTGTGTCAGAGCCGCTTCCAGCTCCAACATCGAGAAATCTTCTGAACAGATGTCGTTTATACTTTTGCTCATCCGCCGGGGAGGAGGATAACGCAATAGTCTTGCTCTCTCCCTCTTATTTATTTTAATATTACTCACTTTAGTGTAGTGCTTACAGAGTTCGTTTGATATATCGGCATGTGTAGTGAGTTCTCTTGCCATGCCTCTCATTGGTATTTGCTGTTGCTTGTTTCCATCATTGTTTAGCGTAGTAACGAACCTGTGCGCTTTGACACCGTCTTTTCGGAAATCGAACCTAGCAAGAAAGGATTTGAAAGCTTCCCTCTTACCTGACTTAATGGCTTGAGTTAGGACCGCTTGCCTCTTTCGAAGCTCTATACAATGGTTCATTTGCCTGGATTTTTCAGCTTTTCCTCTGGCTTTATTTCTGGCAGCTTTCAAATTTATTTTATATTCTCGTATATTTTGTTTTCTCCATATTATATATTTTCAAATATGACTACATATACTTTTGTTCCTTATATTTTTAGCACTTCTAATAATAAAACAGAATTTCAAAACAATCTTTAAAAAATGAGGCAGCAATGAATAATTTGAAAAAATCTAATAATAAAAGCAAAGAAAAATAGCTTAAAAGAAATTGGGGAAGAGTTGAATGATAGTTTTGAAACTATTATAAACAGTTTTGGAAATAAAATATAGTATAATAAGTTTTTTAATGATGTATATGATATGTTTGATGTATTACTGAAGTTCTAGGCTGGTTTTTCTAAGATACAATTTATTTTCCCCCATTAAAAAAGCTTCATACCTTTCTATTTTCTTTGCTTTCCGTTCTGTTTTTTTTTTCCTTTCATATTTCGATTTTCAGTTCACTTGAAGTGTATTAAAGCCTCTTTTTGCTTCAAAATCTTGTTAACTGGTCTTAAACTTACACCACACAGCTTGGCAATAAATCAAAATAAGAAGCAAAAATGCCTTGGATTAGCTTGTACAATAAAAGGATAATAATTCTAAAAGAAAAATAAAGATTATACAAACACGTTTGTATAAAATTGTAAAAATAAGTGTTTACATTAACTCTCACAATACTGTAACTACTCAGTTCTTTGCAAATGTCATTTAAATACTCTATGTACATATGCATGACTAATTTGCTTCAAGCCTATGTTAAAATTATCTTACATTTTTCATTTGCTTACTGCAATTAAGTTATCACCCATTATGTTTAATAAAAATAGTATAATTGCATGAGTAATTTTTAGCTTATAGCTAAATATTCACTTTGATTGCTAATTAACAACTTAAGAGAAAGCAGTAATTAATTTTACATTTATTTAACAAATCTGCCATTATAATTTTAAATCCATTTTCATTTTAGTTCATTTTAATATGTCTAATGCTAAAGCTAAGTATTTAAATACTTAATTTACTATTCATTAAATTCATAACAAATAAAGCAAGAGAATTATTAATAAATACAGATCTGCATCTTTTCTTCGTAAAATATCTAAACTGAATGTTTTAACAATATTTTTTGTCATTAAAAAATGTGCTACCTATGTAAAACATAATTCAAATTTTTTTAGATTGTCTTCCCCTACCACGCTTATATTATATCCTACACTTAAGTCTATATTGAATATTTTTTAGACTAGTAGAAGAAAAATTATTCAATTTATGTTTTCCTTGTATAATATAATACATTATCTTAGCCAAAGAAAATAGAAAAGCACGTTTGCTTCATTCCTCATACATTATTTTTTCATTAATTTTAATATCTTAATTCCCTTCAAAGTTATAAATTCATGAACAGCGTTAAGTTGTCTTTTGACCACCAGGATATGGCACACATGACTATTTTCTTATCATAAAGATATTAATAAAAAAATGTATCGAGTACAACATACCACTGATACTTGCATTTGTCTAGTACCCTATTTGCAAAAGAAGAAAAATAATTGACAGTTGCCGGCTGTCATCCGCCATCTTGTGACGTCAGTGGTTCGTTCCCAGGGGCGGTGCAGCGGTAAACATCAAAGGATGCCGCCGATACGAAAGTCCTCACGTTCATCTGTCTCACCTGTAATAATTACCTGGCGGTATATCAAAGGATGCCACTTTTTCCCACGCTGTCAAAATTTTCCCACGCCAAGTGGTCAAAATTCTGCTCTTGTTTTCGTTCTTTAATTTATTGGTCTGTGGCATGTTACAGAATTCTCCTTTAATTGTGAATTTGACATATTTTGGACTAGTTATGCAATTTATAGAAAACTCACTTTTATAATGGTTAATTAAGCCTTTAATATTCAGGTTTTATAGTTTTTCATGCAGTTTGTTGTTATAACCGGTCTTACTGCAGCCAATTAGCTTATTGTACATCTTCCATTCGTATAACCTTCTGGCTCCAATGTGGTTTTGAATGTCCATGTCTTACAACCATATAATAGGATAGATCATAAATAACATTTCAGGACCTTCTTGTGAATATGTATCGACAGGTATCTGTTATATAAAACTAGGTTCCAGGCAATAAAAGGCTGAATAGCTTCCGCCATTTGACCTACTTAATGAATATTTTCATATGTAGAGTATTACAGTGTTGATGAAGCGATGGCCTTTTACTATGGGCAGCATGTATCAAAATAGTTTATCCGAGACAAACCCATAAAGATAAACTATGGGTTGGAACCGCAAAACAGGAATATGTCTAGTGATTTGAATATTATCGACGTGCCGACATTCCACTTTCTTATCTTTCTTTTTCAGCCTTAAGTAATCCAAAACATCTCATTTGTGGTCTTCCTCTGCTTCTCTTTCCTAACCATGGTCTCCATTGTTGAATTTCGTGGTTTCATCTCTTATCTTTCAGTCGGGCATTGGGACTGAAGTTGTCCTGCGAAGCTCCATTTTAATTTGGCAGCATGTTCTCCTGCGTCTTTTACTTTCGTTTTGCTTCTAATCCATTTGTTTGTGTTTTTGTCTATAAGTCTCACCCCAAGCATTGATCTTTCCATTGCTCTCTGATTCCATTGCTTTCTGATACATATAAAAAATTAGGATAAGGAACCAGTGTCGTATTGTCAAGTGTCGATAAATTACAGTGTGATAACTCAGGTACGCCGCACCACTTATTCTGTAATAATTTTTTCACCTCAGTTTCATTAATAAATGAGCTAACAGCAAACAATTTAAAATGCACTGGAACAATTTGAGATAATCGAGTTCTGGGTTGTCCTTTAAAAAATATAGAAAAATATCGATTTTAGTGTTAACGACTACTAAAGTAGAAGGGACCAACGGCTTTACATGCCTTATGAAGCACGGTGGTGCGGCGCCTCAAGTAAATTAGAAATTGAAATATTTGTTGTGTCTGTAAACTAGCACCATAATCAATAAACTTCAACCGTCATCAGGTTTTATAGTATTTTAATAACACAAAATATTGTTATATTGTTCAGTGTTCATTAATTGTATGTGGCACTTATAAGGAAACTACTCCTTTATATCGTTCAAAGTTCCTCTTCAAATTGTAGGTAAATATTAGTTTTTATCTTTATTAATTAGATTATTGATTCAAAAGATGCAGAATGTTAAGGGTATTGCAAAAATAAAAATGTCCGTCGTTAAAAAAAATTGTACAGACAATTGGCAGAATTAAATAGATATTAAAGAAAAAATTAGCATTCACAATGTGTACATACAAATTAGTTGCACATGTACATACAAAATTACACTCAATTGGCTTCCAGACAACGACTGACGGACACCACGCCCTTACCTTTTCTTTGTTAATTTTACAGAAGTTGCAGGTGGTTTCACATGTCCCGCTGCCGGAGAAATAACCAATGCCGGTTCTTTCTCAAGGCACGCTCATCCCGATGACTGCAGAAAATATTATATTTGTCTTGAAGGACAAGCCAGAGAATACGGTTGTCCTATTGGTACAGTATTTAAAATTGGAGATGCTGATGGTACTGGTAACTGCGAAGATCCAGAAGACGTACCTGGATGGTAAGTATTACCAGTTAAAATAATTTATTTAATAATCATCGACTCAACGACAGTTTGTACATAATTTATTGAAACAATTTTAATATTTGCAATTGTATCGTTACAGTAATTGTGTCCCTAAAGTATGAAATAAATTTATATTTTTTTAAAATATAAATATTTTCAAGAAAAGCTGAACATGTCGATTTCTAATTTTAACTCTACCATTTACAAAAAAAAAATATTAGTAATGAAGTTATCGATAATTTTTTGCATTACAGGAAGCTGCAAAGATTATGATATCTAAGAGCAAAAGTGGTTTTCTAGAGCATTTTTTGGCGATCCGTTGAGATTGTTTCCCTATCACGTACAGTTGTTTTGCTACACAGATTGCAGAAATAGGAATTACATTTATAAATTTGACCGAAGGAATGATCATTTGGTAAAGAAGTTGTTGTGACTTATTTAAAAATGTAAATGTATATGAGTCTAACAGTAATTATTTCGAAATATCGATAAAATATGTATTTGTCGCCAAAGTTTAACTGTATCCATTGGTCTGCTAATTATGGCGGGAACTATTAGCCTCATGATGATAATCTTAATCAGGAGTGAAGATACAGGAAGCGCATCGGTTTCAATTTTTATTAGAATAGTTATTAGAAATCAAATAGACTACATTTTAGTAAATAAAAGACTCCGAAACAGCTTTACATTTGTCAAGACTTATCCTGGAGCAGACTTGGACACTTCCACTGGTGGGAGTATTTCGAGTCAAACTCAAAACAGTGCAGAAAAGGAAAGTACAATCATACGATTTACGTATTTTTAAAGACCTTGATACGAGGATAAGAATCCAAGCCACGTTAAGGGAGCAAGTGACTGCTATTAGAGACGAATCGAACGAAGATCAAACGATCAAACATATTACAGAAATAGTGCAAAAAGTAAAGGATAAACACTTAAAGACAGATTAATGAAGAAAAAATCATGGATAACAGATGAGATCCTAAAACTAATGGACGAGGGAAGAAAAGCCAAAAATGACCCAGACATATATAAAACCATAAATATATTAATAAGAACGAAAATCAGAGAAGCGAAAGAAAAAGAAGCAAAGGAAATATGCGAAGAAATTAAGACTGTGCAGTCAAAGTACGATAGTCACAATGTACATAGGAAAGTTAAAGAACTCACATCGGACTAAGACGAAGGCAGAAAGGAAATATAACTGAAAGAATATCTAGAAAAACTATTTGAAGACCAAAGAGATAATACATTTGAGCTAGAAGAAGAGGTAATTATGGACCAAGAATATTACAGCAGGAAGTTTATTCCGCAATAACACAGTAAATGGATGGCAAAGTGGCAGGCCCTGATAATATACAAGCAATACTACTCAAACTAATGGACAACGAATCAACATCAATAATCGCAAAGATATTCAACAACATATACAACTTTGCAGAAATACCAAAAGAATGGCTGAAATCTGAGTTTATCGCACTTCCAAAAAAACAGGAGCCAAAAAATGCGAAGATTGCCGTATTATAAGCCTTATGAGTCATCTCCTAAAATTGTTCCTAAAGATAATTCATAAGAGAATCTACCAGCTGTGTGAAAGTCAAATTTCCCCCAACAACCAGTTCGGATTCACAAATGCTGTTGGTACAAGATAGGCTTTATTATCAATACAAGTCTTATTTCAGAGATGCAGAGACATCAACTGCGACGTATGCGCATGTCTGGTTGATTACGAGAAAGCGTTTGATCGAGTACAGCACGCCAAGATGATGCAAATAGTAAAAAATGTAGAAATTTACAACCAAGATCTGAAAATAATTAGAAATCTTTACTGGAATCAGACAGCAAATCTCAGATTTGAAGGTAAACACACTGACTATGTGAAAATTATGCATGGAGTGAGGCAAGTCGGTATTTCGTCTCCACTAATCTTCAATCTGTACTCTGAAAGAATATTTATCGAAGCTTTGCACGAAACTGAAGAAGGTATTCTACTAAATGGTTACCGGCTAAACAACATCAGATATGCAGATGACACCATAGTATTTATGGATAACTTAGAAAACTTACAAGTTCTTATGAACAAAATCACGTATTACAGTCAACAACATGGACTCAAAAAAACGTTAAGAAGAAAAAGCTTATGATAATTAGCAAGAAAATGATAACAGAAGGTCAACTCTACGTCAACCAATCTCCTGTAGAAAGAGTGACGCATTACAACTACCTCGGCACCATCAAAAATAAAGAATGGACCAACAACCGGGAAATTAGAGCAAGCATCGATAAAGCTAGATCCACCTTCAATCGAATGGCGGCCTTCTTCAAGAGTCACAACCTCTCCCTTGATATAAAAGTAAGAATGCTGCGATGCTACGTCTTCTTCATCCTTTTTTATGGTGTTGAATCGTGGACCTTGAACGAAGATATGTGCAAAAAATTGGAAGCATTTGAGATGTGGCTATATCGGAGAATACTTGGATCCCGTGGACTGACCGAGTCACAAATGAGAAGGTCCACAGAAGAATAAATAAGAACTGAGAGGTACTGGCCACCATCAAATCTCGAAAGTTACAATTCTTCAAACATATTATGCAAAATGAATCCAGATAGGCTCTCCTTCAAGCCATCCTGCAAGGAAAAATATTTTAAAAACGGGGTCCAGGAAGAAGAAAAACATCTTGGTTAAAGAATCTCAGAATCTGGTTCAATACAACATATGTGCAGCTTTTCCGCACTTCTAATGCCAACATTTGTAACGGATAGACATATCGAGAAGAAGTTTTAAAATTAATCAATCTCGGAGATCGTCTGTGAATAGCCCTTATTTGTTTTATTATATTTGTGGATATTTTGTGGTTGTAAAACAGAGACAACATATTACCAAATTTGTAGAAACTGTGTACTTTCATATTGTGGTGTAAAACTGGGCAGTCAAGACAAGACATGGCCCCGTAATACTGTTTGTCGAACTTGTGTAAGAAGAAAGCTATGGAATACTCATGGTCTAGAGAGAACCATTGAATCACGTAGATGATTGTTACCTTTATCTGATTAATATATATGGTTACTCAGTTAAGAACAGGAAATCTATTGTTCATCCTAACTTACCTTCTGCTACTAGACCAGTTGCTCATAAGGACACTATTCCTTTTTCTGTCCCATATTCATAACAAAAACGTTAGTGATGACTGTGCATATGAACCTGATAATGATCGCTCTCCTAAACTTTTTACTCAAAAAGAATTAAATACTTTAGTTAAAGATGTAAATCTTCAAAAGAATCCAAATTGAAATAAAAAAATATCCTTGCATGAGTGTCACTTTTTCTTGGTATCATCATCGTAAACGAGAATTTCCTCCTGAATTTCAAGAAACAGATGCAGTGGTTTTCTGTAATAACATTTAATCTTAATTTATTTTTGAATATTAGGCTCTAATAATGGAAATTTCATAGCAACCTATCAATAGAAGTAATACATTTTATTGATCTCGTGAGAATCGTAAAAAATACCAAAAATCGCCCACACATTTATCTATTTAACAGCTTTATAGGAACTGACTTTGTTTGCGGAAAATGCAAAAATTGTATACGGAAGCTGCATTATTTGCCTTTAAAATGAATTTTGATTTTTGTCGATAGGGCATTCTGGTCAAAAGAAATCAAATTTTTACCGTCGAATTGAAATACATTTTATTTAAAATGCCAAAATGGCATACTTTTTGCATTTTTGGCGTCCCAAAATCGACATTCTCTGCAAAACTGAGCTTGTTTGTATTAAAATTAGAAAATCATCTTTTCTTTAAAATATTTACATTTGACAAAATAATGAATTTATTCCATACTTAACGGACACAGTGTAGTTAATATACTTAACTAACTAATTTTTATGTAAGTTTATATATTATCTGTTTCTTCTTTCTATTATTTTTCTTCTATTTAGTCTTCGTTAACTTTCTATCCTTTTGGAATAGACCGACCTTTCTTGTTTGATATTTAATGACAATATTTTTTTGTAAATAAGTGTGCAGTTACTTTATACTTATCTTCTTTTCAACTGCTTTGAATTAATAAGAGTATTACTTTAGTCGAAACATTATTATTGTTGCTCTATAGAAAGCCTTATGAGCTTAGAATGTCTTCGACAACATGTTGATATTGGACGCTAGAAAGTAAAGAACATACACATATTAATTTAGAATCAACCCATTTAACGTCTTTACATATTTACAATTGAGTTCGAGAGATTTGTTTTATTGGCCTTCCTGTCATTATTTTTATTTTAGGTACTTTTTCTCTTTATTATGCACCATGAAGTTTATCTAATTTCTTTGCAATTTTTATACTTTTCTTGGGTAATATTTTTTTTGTTTAGACAATTCTGATTTTTTTATTATTATTAGTTATTGTTATCTTCAGTATCCCCCAACATGTAATATTTAATAAAATATTCGAGCAACATCACATAATTAAAATTTGACATTTCTCACTTAGTTGTGGTTTTTTTTATAACTTTACGTTGCATTCTAGCTGCATATGTTTTGTCGCTTCATTTTCAAACACAACGGTTGTTATTTTGTAACAAAGCATTGTTTTCGAAGTTTATACGCCGTGGTCTGTAGTACGACCTAGTGAGGTATTAAAGAGCATTGTTCCATAGTTCTCACAAAAATACCACAAATCTTGTTTGTCACTATCTTAGCAGAACATAGTTTCAGTGAGACAGCCGATTTTACGAACAAAATGTGGTGTAGCAATGGGAAATCCGTTAAGAAAACTTGTTACCAACTTTTTGAGCAAAAATTCAAACAACAAGCCTTTCAATTAGTTGATAAAAAGTCATTATGTTGGTTTTGTTAGGTGGATGATAATTTTGTTTTCTGCAGCCACATAAATAAGAATTTATAAATTTATTAAATTTGAGGCATTTACTAAATCCTGAGATGACGTGAAACATGAAAATCCAGATCTTTAAACATTTTGCTTTTGTAGATAA